TATCGTTCCAAAACTGTATGACTTTCTTCTGTGAAACAGATATTTAATAAATGTCTCAACAGCTATGTTTCCATCCACCTATTTTTATGTGAATTTGGGATAACGCTTATTCGCTTTATTGAGCAGGATACATTTACCTAATAAATTCCTCGATGCACAACAACAAAACTCACGTGTCTTTGCCTCAACAGATGATGTGACTGGATAACTGGACTAACCAGCAGATCGATCTCATCACACACCATTTAATCATTTTGAAATGCCTGAACCAATGTCCATCATCAAAATGATTTGGTATAATAACCTCCCAGAACTCACACGATTGTGCTACCAAACATCAGGTACCTGAACACATGATAACATGAAAACATTTATTGCATTTCATCTACTCTATGAGATGAAAGTAATTTATTATTATATATGCAAAAAGACCCACAGTGGCTCCTCCTATTCCTATTTTTCTTAGGGTGCATCTCAATCAGCTCCCTAGCTCGTGAATCAGTATATTGTGAACACGAATTCGGTCACTGGTAAGTACCCTGGCTCACTGCAGATTGGGACAGTGATTACTCAATTTCCGGTGACATATACGTACAACGTAACGTAACTAGTCAACAACAGGCAGGACCAATCTCTTTTTGATATAATTTTTAATTCTCTTTAAACTCGTTCTTTTACATGTTCTTACAACATTTCAGCCAAATATTAATTATAAATGATCACTAGATGTGATCATTACCCATCTAGCGATGTGTGTTTAGGTTGAAATATACAAAAAAAAACGGGTTGCCTTTTTAAATCTTCTATCGCGTATCATTATATTTATCGAGTTGGCTCGTGTGGTTTATGTTTTGCGCTTCAGAAATGTAACGTAATTTCCGGTAAGGGAGCATAGTGAGCAGAGATGCTCCCTAGTTTTTGCGGTGCATTGTGGGATTTTTCAGGGAGCGAACATTCCAGTGCACTGGAAGGATTTTCGCGATTGAGACATCCCTTAAAATGGAAGTTACAACCTTGTTCTCTAGGTGGAAATGGAGCTTTATTCGTAAATGTTTTATTCAATATTCCAATTTTGCGCATAAGTTAAATTCACAACTTTGGATGGTAACATAGCTAATGTTTGTTTTTTTGTAGCTGTTGTATGGACAAAAACAGCTAAAACATTCTTCAAAAGACCTTAACATACAGATTTGGTGACATGAGATATGAGGGTGATTAAATTGAGGCAATTTCCAATTTTGCCTGAACTATCACGTACTAACACTGCTATTAATACTAGTACAGTCAGAATTTCTAAGACCAAAGTGTGAAAATGTAATGTGAAAAGTAGAGAATGTCTCAATTGCAAACCTAGAGCGCTCCTCTAACAGGGCGAGCAGTGACAGAAGTGTCAAAGCTGTCTCCAAAACCAGTAAGAAACAGTCATTCTGACAACAAGCCTCTATTATCTGCCTAACCCATGATAAGACAGTTTGCCAGTAGCAGTAGTCTTGCTCATGGAGCCTCTATCACCTTCTGCAGCTCTGGGTTGGAAATGGGGTCCATTTTATTCACAGCAGTGCATCAAAAACTCCAGTTTTGATGAACTGAAAATTAACGGCACAATGTTTTTATAGTTCCATATGAAGGAAAATCTTCATGGAATATTCAATATTTATGAAAACTGCAGTATTGCATCACACATTCTTTTAAAGGGGTCATGAATTGAGAAACCAACTTTTACTTGAGCTTTTGACATACAGGTGCATCTCAATAAATTAGAATGTTGTGGAAAAGTTCATTTATTTCAGTAATTCAACTCAAAATGCACACAGACTGAAGTAAATTCAATGCACACAGACTGAAGTAGTTTAAGTCTTTGGTTCTTTTAATTGCATGCTGATTTCATTTTTCCAGCAGGATTTGGCACCTGCCCACACTGCCAAAAGCATCAAAAGTTGGTTAAATGACCATGGTGTTGGTGTGCTTGACTGGCCAGCAAACTCACCAGACCTGAACCCCATAGAGAATCTATGGGGTATTGTCAAGAGGAAAATGAGAAACAAGAGACCAAAAAATGCAGATGAGCTGAAGGCCACTGTCAAAGAAACCTGGGCTTCCATACCACCTCAGCAGTGCCACAAACTGATCACCTCCATGCCACGCCGAATTGAGGCAGTAATTAAAGCAAAAGGAGCCCCTACCAAGTATTGACTACATGTACAGTAAATGAACATACTTTCCAGAAGGCCAACAATTCACAAAAAAAAAAAAAAATTTTATTGGTCTTATGAAATATTCTAATAATTTGTTGAGTGAATTGGTGGGTTTTTGTTAAATGTGAGCCAAAATCATCGCAATTAAAAGAACCAAAGACTTAAACTACTTCAGTCTGTGTGCATTGAATTTATTTAATACACGAGTTTCACAATTTGAGTTGAATTACTGAAATAAATTAACTTTTCCACGACATTCTAATTTATTGAGATGCACCTGTATAAGAGGTCATCGTACTAAAATAATATCCTGTAAGTTTCAGAACTAAAAACGTCCTTGTTACTGAAATAAAAGCTTTTATTGACACCAGGCCCAGCAAACACCAGATCCTGGAATGTGCCTATGCATGACGTAATAGACAGGTTAAGCACCGCCTCCACAGAAGAATATCAACACCTAATTCTGAAGCCCCGGCCTCTGATTCGTGTAAGACATAGTAGGGAAATAACATAAGTGACGCTAAACCGGATCGAGCAACCAAGCAATAAACATGCCGTTGGAAGATCGCAAAATATTGTGCAGTGCCTGTTTGTGGAAGAACACAGTCGCTGCATAGCCTTCCTTCGGATTCAAATATTAGGAATGCGTGGTTGAACTTTATTAAGTTTCAGAACTAAAAATGTCCTTGTTACTGAAATAAAAGCTTTTATTGACACCAGACCCAGCAAACACCAGATCCTGGAATGTGCCTATGCATGACGTAATAGATAGGTTAAGCACCGCCTCCACAGAAGAATATCAACACCTAATTCTGAAGCCCCGGCCTCTGATTAGTGTAAGACATAGTAGGGAAAGAACATAAGTGGCGCTAAACCGGATCGAGCAACCAAGCAATAAACATGCCGTTGGAAGATCGCAAAATATTGTGCAGTGCCTGTTTGTGGAAGAACACAGTCGCTGCATAGCCTTCCTTCGGATTCAAATATTAGGAATGCGTGGTTGAACTTTATTTTTAATGAGGTTTCAGCTCAGGCTAGTAAAACATTGAGCATTTGTTCACTTCATTTCACCGCGGATTCCTTTGTAAACAAGACACAGTTCGACGCTGGATTTGCAGAGAGACTGAGATTAAAAAGCAATGCTGTGTCTATATTGGATCCGACAGGAATGGCGCAGTACACTTATGCGATTAAAAAATATTAGGAACCCCTTTCAAACAGTGTCGCGTTCCGAACGTTGTAAGCGACATACACCGGTATTGCGGTATTTTAAAAATTAAAATACCAATATGAATTTGAAATTCATATCATAACAAAAATAAACACCGGTATTCGGTATGAACCGGTATACCGCCCAGCACTAATATGTCCTGATTATGTGTACGTGTCTAACCAAAGTCACAGAAGGCTCCAACTATGAAGGACGTAGCTTGTCAAACAGACACACAGAAAGTTAGTTTACTATGCAAAACTATTATTGAATCATAGCAGTGGGCGTTTACTTCCATGTCTTCAATGCGTCACGCCCATAAAAACAGAGCGTTTTCCGAGCCGGTCTCAAAAACCAGAGTAGAAAATATCCTATTACTTACAGATTTTGATGTTTTTGAATGTAAAAACCAAGCAAACGTCATAAGTGGACCTCAGACAACAGTATAAAATAATAAAAAAGCCAGTTCATGACCCCTTTAAAGCCTCCGACAGTGATAACAACCATACAATTGAATTGTGGTTCTATATTTAGAGCACAATTTGAACTTGAATCAGCTATTTGCATTTATGGATTTTTTATATACTCAGCATGATCTAACATGATCATACTAAATATTTCATGCTGCATTACAGTCTGCCTGTGGTTTTAAACTGTCTGAGGTTGGAAGGCTAAATGATTCCTCTTTCATCACCTTCTTTCATGATGACCGTGAACCTTACATATACATACACACACACACACACACACTCTCTCTCTCTCTCTCTCTCTCTCTCACATACACAATAAATTATCAACAAAGAGGCAGCAATTTAATTTCTTCACAAGCTTGAAGGCGAAGCACTAGCCTTCTGAAAAGAGATTAGATTTTCTTATTAATGTCCAACAGTACATCATCAGTCTGACCACAAACAATATGGCCTGATTCACCTTACTGTGGCTACTCATTACTTATCTCATTTTTGGTGTCATACCCTTTGTCAACCATCATTTTCACTTCTGTTGTTCTGCTGTTGAAAGTAGTCATGATGTAGGAACATAAGCTAGTAATAATGAAACAGAACTGATGCAAAAGGTATAACTTCAGGTTATTCTGGAAAATAACTGCTTGCTTGGAGAGTAAGAAACCATTTGATTAATATGTCAATGGATTTGAAGTCACAAACCTTGCCAAGTTTGCCATTTCCAGTGATTAGTTTCTTCCTCATACCCTCTCATTATATCAACCCGGTACATTTTAAACCAAAACATTTGTAAATTTATTTAAAAAAAAATTTGTTTCCTGGCGGACTGATAAAAACCTGTGCACCTGGAGTACCAAGTTGAAGTGCAGCCATGAAGTCTGCTTGGACTTTGAGATTTTCAGTTTTGTTTGCAATATGCATCAGATGGTCAGTGAACAGAATGTGGGCAGACTGTAGGCAGTCTGTCTGAGACCGTGTTGGTTATCAGTATAGAAATGAGATCCTCTGGAACTAGATTTCTTATGCTATTATTAGTATTCCACCCCTGAGCTCTCACATCTGAACAAAAACTCATTCAAAAGCACAAATGGGGTTGTTTAGTTTGAAGTTTAATCATGCGTGGTACTGTACCTCTCTCTGTTCACTGCAGATCTTGCAAAGCCACTGGGCCCTTTTTTGACTGCCTGCAGTCTCGATTCCACACTTAGTGCACACCTTCTGCAAGACAAACACGCATACAATTAGAACATGTCAAACAAACACACAACCTGATAACTACTTTAACATGCATTAAGACATAAGCGAAATGTGTTTAATTGTTCTTTTATTGGCAAATCGTTTTTTTCTCTTATTTTAAGTGTGAATTTTATTTTGCAAAAAAAATGTGAATAGTGTAAAAATATTTATATTAAGATATTTAGGGAAAGTATATTTAAATGTGTATGTGCGCGCTTGTTTTAAGTAAATAAATAAATGTTATACTGTGATATCCTGCTATGAATGCGTTTTAGATTTAACAATCTTTCACCCAGTGAAAGGTGAGCTTTTGTGCTCAAGACAACATACAGAGAAAGTGTACCACAATTTGTGCACCACAGGGTTTTTTTTTTTAAATTAGTTTGATTTGGTAAGTTTACCTGCAAGATAACTGGCAATGCCATTTTTTAATGTTGAAGCAGAAACATGTCCACCCTGCAATCGTGCTGATTGTAAAAAGCAACATCCCTCTTCACATTAAAATAAATTAAATTACAGCGGGAGATATTAGTGTGGACTCTTGACGGCTTGGTTTTAAGAATCAATTTGAAGGTGAGGGCTGGGATACGCTGTTGTAATAAGAAAAGAGAAAGAACCTTTAATCAGGCTTTATGTAATAGAAGACAAACACTAGACTGAAGTGCCAGTAATTTAGTTTTAGCAGAACTTCCATATACTTAAATTGCGTTGAGATGGAGTGAGCGAGAGAATAACAGAGAGAATGTGAGGGCACAAAGAAATCTCTTCAATTTCCGTTAACTACTTCTAAAGATTCCTCAGTGAGTGAGAGCCACCTTTAAAGCTGCTGTAAGCGGTTTAATACCACGCATAAAATGTCCCTGCTCTTTGACAGATATCACTAAATTGGGTGTCTTGAGAAATCACACTTCACTCTGTGACAGCTCCAGGCTCTCTAAATGGAAAAAAAATTATCTGATTGCGGTACGCATGTCTTAGCCAATCAGAAAGCTTGGAGGTGGCCTTCTGTCAACCTAAACCAATGGCATGAGTTTAGAACGGGACTTTTTTTTAAATCTTAATAATAAAAACAGAGAGTGTTTATGAAATAAATAAAACTGTTCTGAAACAGCTACCCTTAAGACGTTAACACTGATAATAATGGCAGATAACCATTGCAATTGTTGAGAATAAAATCCAATACAATTTTGTTAAAATAAATTAAAACACTAAAAACTGAAATTAATCATTTTAAAATGTCACAAATTAATTTAGACATCACTACATTAGAAATATAAAGTATAAAAAAAATATTCATTTTGAGATTTTTATCATGTGTTTGTTAATGGTGTTTATATTAGATGACAGCAAAGGTAATATTAAATGTAAAAAAAAAAAAGAGAAAATGAGCATACACAAATAAATATTTAATATAATCAATACTAACATAAAAAACGGTAACACTTTAATTTAGGGACCAATTCTCATTATTAACTAGTTGCTTATTAGCATGCAAATAACTAGCATACTGGCTGTTGATGGAATATTTCAGATCCCATAATTCGACCCCATAACTGAACTTAAAGGGGTTATATGATGCGATTTCAAGTTTTCTTTTCTCTTTGGAGTGTTACAATCTGATTGTGAATAGATAAGATTCCTGAAGTTGCAAAGACTAAATTCTCAAAACTAAAGAGATATTCTTTATCACAGTTAAGACTCTGCCACACCCCCCTAAAACGGCTCGTTCTAACACGCCCCACATATCTACCTCACTATGTGGAAATATTAGCATAATGCCACCCAAATGTTCACGCAAAGAAAGAAGGCGTGGTTTCAGTAACCGCAGTTAGTGTTGAAGCAGCCATGTCAGGGAGACACTGTGTTTCTAGGTGAAAGCAAAAGCACTTTATTTGGCCTTCCAGGAAGTAGATGCATTTAGGAATCTTTAAGATTACTTACAACAGAACAGCAATGCATTTTATGGACGACCGTTTCGTGAACCTAGGAGAGGAGGTAATTCTGACTTTGCTATGACAATCTGGCGCTTCTGAATCAGCTACTGTTTTGTTATTAGTTTAAGTATTTGCTATTGACTGTTCAAATGCGGAGTTTTGCGCATCGTGTGTGTGTGTGCGCGTGCATGTGTGTGTGTGACAGAGTGTGAGAGAGAGATCACAGTGGAGTCAGCTGTCTTAACCGTGGCTTGTGTACTGCACACATACCAGCTTCATCACTGTCTGTCACGCGACTCTGTTCCCCTTTCGGGCTCTGTCTTTACATTTATTTTGAAAGATGAAGCTCGCGATTATGGTAAGGGGCGTTACATTTCTGACGAGTGCTTGCGGTGTTCGGCCAATCACAATGCACTGGGTCAGCTGGCCAATCAGAGCAGACTGCGCTTGTCGGAAGGAGGGACTTTGTAGAAAACGAAGCATTTGAGAGAGGACCTACAATAATGTACAGTATTTGAAAAATAATGTGTTTTTTGAACATTAAAGCATGTCAACATATTCTGTTACACCAAATAATGATCTTAAAAAAAAGCATCATATGACCCCCTTTAACAACTACATTACTAACTATTAATAAGCAGTAAATTATGAGTTTATGGAGGCAAAAGTCATAGTTATAAGTTAGTTAATAGTGAGAATTGTTACCTAAACTAAAATGTTACCAACAAAAACTACTATGAGCTGAGAACCGATATGGTACTGATATACTGTGCATCTTTAGTCACACTTAGAGTCATGGGTTTAACACTTCATTTTGGCAATTAACTAGTCGATTTGTACCTCTTAGACGAATAATACTTTTCAAGTTATTATTTTCACCTTATGGATGATAAAACTTCTAATAATCAGCCCTTCAACAGCATATCAACCATCCAAACCAGACTAGCAACTTGTTAAAAACCACTCCAAAGACATTAGCAAGAGATCTCCAGCCCTGATACCGTGCATTTTCTCTATAAATCTGGTAATTTCGGCAATAACCAACTATCAGATTCCATATGGTATATGATCAACATAGTCTTATAACACAGATGGTCATATATTGACAGAACACCGAAGCATTACCAATCCAATAATAATAATGATAAATTCATTAATTTCCCCTGCATGCCTAGAAACAGCAGCTGTTGAGAATGATCACAGTTCATGAGAGAGCAGGAGTGATGTGAGCTCAGGGTTTCTAGAACAGATGCTCTGTCCTCACTGGCACAGACCTGCTGTTAAGGACCTCATTCAGTCTTTAGCACTTCTTAGTCCTGTGTCAAGTCACAGTGTGTGTCTGTCTCCAAGTAAACTACTAACTGTAATCCGAAGTTCAGTGGAAAGTATCTGTCTTATGCCACAATGTGCAATATCAGTACACTAAAGTAGTGTTTCAGTTGCACATTTCCCCCTTGTGGTCACACTATGAACAAGTTCATAGTTACTTATTTTCCACCATAATTTGCAAATAAATTCTTTAAAAATCCTACAATGTGATTTTCTGGATTTTTTTTTCTCATTTTGTCTCTCATAGTTGAGGTATACCTATGATGAAAATTACAGGCCTCTCTCATCTTTTTAAGTGGGAGAACTTGCACAATTGGTGGCTGACTAAATACTTTTTTTCCCCACTGTATATAGTTATTTTTTTATATATAAATAAAGCAAATTACAAACCATGAGAAAAATACAATAGATACACATTAAATAAACTTGTTTAATTAATGAGCCAGACAGGTATTTATTTAATCTGCTGTCCCTTTAAGACCGAATGCATATAATATACTGACACATATCTGATTCTCACCCACCTGTTTACGTTCACTAAAGCCATAACCGACTGTATTTACGTGAGATACTCCACACGATTGACATTTTTGCGGGCGAGATAGTGCTTCTGTGTGTCTGTCATTCAGTGTGATTCCGCCTATCTATCCAGTCTTCACTTACTGCATGTTAATCGATAACGAATTGTGATTGGATGGTAATTTGGTTCTACGACAAGCTTACTTACCTTTGATTAGGCAGTTCTCACGTGACAGAACACTTCTACTACTCGCTCTGATGACCCAGCCGTAAAGAAATTTTGAAATACGAAATTTTGAAAAATAAGTCGGGACACTAAAAAAAAAGAGCTGAAATACGGGACTGTCCCGGGAAAAACGGGACGTCTGGTTACCCTAGCAATGTTACATTGTACACTACCATTCAAAAGCTTGGGGTCGGAAAGATTTTTCAACATTTTTGAAATAAGCCATTGAAATGCACAAATCTTAAGGTACGTTACTTTTTAAAAGAATAAGTGAGATAACACGGGCACAAAAGTTGTAATTACTTCAGTTTAAGGTATTATAAGGGAAAACCTATATGACTAAGCAAAATAATGTAAAAATAACATGGCTCATCTTACCCCGGTCTGCCCTAATGTGAACCACAGACCTTATTTTAATCATAAATCTAAATCCACCATTCCAAAAACCCATACGAAATGTCAGAGGGAACATGCAAGTCATTCTCTCCAGAACTCTTTTACCATATACATATGTATTGTGCACAGTATGCATATTTTCTGTACGCAATGAATGCTTGTATGACTTGTATGTACAGATCTTTGCTGCCACTATGTGGTGTCGAATAATTACTGCATGAGCCCACATATTGTTACTACATGGAAATGACTAAGCGTACTTGTAAAAAGCAGTGAGTCAGTGTGAAGCATAGAGAACATCATGTTGAGAAGATTTAGACCAGTTTGTACCATGCAGCAGTCCAAACAGAGGACGGACGAAGAGCTCAGCAGACCAAACACCTCTCCACACAGCAGACACTGTGACAGGCCGTTTCCCACAGCAGATCTCCTCATGTTCTCCAGACGCTCCACTAGACGTCTGAAACACACACACACACACCTTTATTTTTAGGTTTCATTATGAAAAGAGATGCTGTATGCTGTGATGTGTTTTATATGTATAGCTTACCTTATTTTATCTAATTTTTTCCCAATAATGTGATTAACCAAAGCTCAGGTAACAATAATGGTTAACTCCTATTACCCATTTTATTTATAAACACTTTCATTCAGTAAGTATCCATTAAAGCATCCTTTTATTCAGCAAATATGCATTCAAGTAAATTTAAATGATCAATTACATTATAAAGATATTTATAATGTTACAAAGATTCAAATAAATGCTGCTCTTTTGAACTTCTCAAAGAATCCTGAAAAAAGTATCACATTTCCATATAAAACATTAAGCAGTACAACCACAAAATTGGTCGAAGCTGAAGACTGGAGTAATGATGCTGAAAATTCAGCTTTGCATCACTGGAATAAATTACATTTTAAAATATATGAAAATGTAAAACTTTTTAAATTGTAATATTTCACAATATTACAATTTTTACTGTATTTTTATGGATCAAATATATACAGCCTTGTTGTGCATAAGAGAATTCTTTCAAAAACACTGCAAAATACTACTGACCACAAACAAATTTCATGTTTTTCCATGTGGCATTTTAAACACTTTTTAAAACATCAAGTAGAAATCTTGTTTATGATCAGTGATATTAGTGAAAGTCATTAAGGCAACCAGACAATAAATATATATATATATACAGTGGGTACGGAAAGTATTCAGACCCCCTTAAATTTTTCACTCTTTGTTATATTGCAGCCATTTGCTAAAATCATTTCAGTTAATTTTTTTTCCTCATTAATGTACACACAGCACCCCATATTGACAGAAAAACACAGAATTGTTGAAATTTTTGCAGATTTATTAAAAAAGAAAAACTGAAATATCACATGGTCCTAAGTATTCAGACCCTTTGCTCAGTATTTAGTAGAAGCGCCCTTTTGATCTAATACAGCCATGAGTCTTTTTGGGAAAGATGCAACAAGTTTTTCACACCTGGATTTGGGGATCCTCTGCCATTCCTCCTTGCAGATCCTCTCCAGTTCTGTCAGGTTGGATGGTAAACGTTGGTGGACAGCCATTTTTAGGTCTCGTTTACACCTTTGTTTGAAGCAACTGCATGCCATATTTTTATATGAAAATAAACAAGCTGAAAACACTAACTGAAAAACTTTTATTGCTTTTTTATTGACATTAAGCCTCAAATGTCAACTATACATCGGATTGGTTTCTCTTTAAATAAAAAAGTTTAAATATTAATGGTATTATAATGTTATACTAAAACTAAAATTAAAACAATGGAAAAGCCCTTAAGATAACATGTAGAAAGAAAAAAAAAGCATCTTAAGCATGCAGAATAACATAAGTGGACTTTGAACGATTAATTGCTGCTTTGAACGATTATGTAATTGTGGCATCCGTAATTGTAACTGCGATTAGAAATTCGATTAATTGTGCAGCCCTAATATATATATATATACATACATACATATACACACACACACACACGTTTAACCTTATAACGTATAACCTTTTATAATATATTATATAAAATGTTTTTTTAACTATTACATTTTAAATCCCTTATATTCAGGCTCAACATCAAACATCAGATTTGAAGTGTTTATCTGACCGGCGGACACTGGGTGACAAGGCAGAAAAAAGTATGAAAAAGCATAAATGTGATGCAGGCTGATAAAGTCTCACCCAATCCGGTGTTGCTCAATGATCTCGTGCTGCTCAGCGCGGTGGATGACACTCATGATGAGATCCAGCTCTCTTTTCTCAAGTGTCTGAGCTTTCCTCTGTCTCTCCGATTGAAATGTGTGGATGGACCAGCCTGTACGTAACCTGAGTGGAATACAGACACATAGACAAGAGAAAAATCATTCATCAGAAATCAATCACTATGACTGTATTTTCCAACGCACATTACATTAAGTGATTTGAAGAATGACATGCTGAAATGCAATTTGTGCAACAGATTTAAACAAACAAAAACTTACTTTGCTCTAAGCGCTAGTTGTCTGTCATTGGGACAGACCCAGTGCTCATTCTCACTGCCAAACATTGTGTCTGTCATGTTTCACTATGGAGCTGTAACAGATCAGAATGACAAGTCTAAAATCATTATGAGAATAATCAGGTGAACTAAAGTATGATGTAAAAGCATGAAAAAAACAGAAGCAATATATAATAGGCTTGAGAACGTAATTGTTTCTGAGCGTTAATATAAATATATAATAAACATTCACCTTCAACTTCACAGCCGCTCATTGGCTTTGACAGGTGTTAGCTGTTGGTTGTGATAGAGCTTATATTCAATTATGTAAAAGTGGAAGGACACGGCTCAACTGATTACTGGATTATTCATCTCACAACACCTGCCAAATGACAGTTTCAGAGACCAAACACAAAGACATATTGTGCAGTCTAACATAATACTTGATGAAAATAACAGTACATTTTCTTAAATGGAATTAGACTGTATATCCGTTCATATGTTCTGGTACTGCATGGATCCTATTTAATTAATAACTGATCAGTTACATCCTAGTTAAATGAAAGGGGTTGTGTAACAGAAACAATCCAAAAAAATGTGTATCAAATAATATATGTGCACACATACACACACACAAACATATACACACACACATTATAATAGGTATTCATTTTGGATTACTTTTTTTTCTGAAGTGATATGATATATACACTCACATTTGTTAAGAATATTACTGAATTAACTTATTTAAATTCTACATAACAATGATTGCTAAATGTACTGTATATATCAATAATAATAATAATACATGTTTTTTTTTTTTTTAAGTAATTAAAAAAGAAAAAATACATATATTTGGGAAGCCTCGCTATTTTTAGAGTAAGAAACACAAAATTACAAATACATTGTATTTGTAAGAATATTGAACTAATGTATATAAATCATGTTTTCAAATGATATAATAAATATTTACTATTATTATTATTATTGTTTTTGTGTGTGTGTGTGTGTGTGTGTATGCATTTACATATCATTACTTATAAATGCATATTATTATGTATAATTATTATAATTATAATAGTAATAGTAGTGATGATGGGGACATCATGTCATTTAAAAAAATCTATTCATGTTGTGGTAAAACAAACAGATGCTAATACTGTTGATACAATCATGACTTTCAATGCATGATAAACTTTCTGTATTTACATCAAACACATATACTGTATATTGTGCACAAGTTTAAGTCAATTAAAGCACTTGCTCACTTCTCTTTCACTCTCTTTGTAACACAGACACAATCTAAACCTTTACGGCTAAGCGAGGCCGAGTCTATTTACATTTCCATGAGAACTCCTGCTCTTTGTTTGGCTCTGCTGCACAGGCCACGGGCACAGATGACAACGGCTCCAGCAAACTACTTAGTTACACTAGCAGACTTAGTTAAACTAGCATTTCCTCTCAAGCCAATAACTTTAATTCTAGAGAAAGAAAAGGTCTAGCAAACCACAAAACAGCAAACCCTGGTATTTACTTGGACAGTACATATATCAAACAATCTTCAAGTTCTTGTGTGTTTTCTTCCATTTACATTCCAGAAAACCCTGACTTATAACCAGTAGGGAATTCATTCAGAGAAAATACATAGTCTTCTAACTATTGTTTTTAACCTGGGATCCAAATGAATAATCCACCAATCCATTCGCTCAAAGAAAACACCCATGTCCTCTTGCTCCCTCTAAATGACACAGAAAAAGGATAGGCACAGTCTTTATTACATTAACTACAGGTCTCTGACTCCAGGCAAGGCACCTTTTTAAGACGTCAACATTCTGGCATCTAATCAAGTCTAGTTAACTTAAAAGCAGTTAGCAAACAGGCACAGGCAGACAAGAAAGAGTGTTTACCTTACAAGAGTACAGATAAAGTGGCGTTACTCTGGCCGTCTCTCAGCATGAGAAAGTGAGAGTAGAGGAAATAAGGCGACGGAGGAGGAGGAAACTCCTGATTACACTGATCTCAGATCAGGTTTGCTGCCTCTCTTGCAATGGATCAGGTCACATGACCTGAGCACAATTCATCCAAAACATCCTGCTACTCCAATTATTACAGTGATTGAATAAAGAAACAAAAGAGTGACGGTGATGCAACCAAACTGAGACAGGGCTCATAGGTGCTAGAGGCTAAAGGCTTTACTATTGACCTGGCCTTTACAATCAGTCAATATAAATCACAGTAATCTCATTCGCTATGTCTGCTGCAACACTAAATCATTTCGAATAGAATATTAAGTTATGACAACATAGGGCTGGACAATAACTCAATATCTATGTATCGCGATATAATTTTTTTCAATAACGGAGATATGATTTTTAAACATATTTCCGATATACATTACCAGTTTCCCATACATTGAGTTTATTTGTGGTGTTTGACGTCGTTGAATAAACATGAGCACTGCGCGTCGCGGGTGTTTTATATGAATGTATCTCTGAAGGGAACCGATTGTCTTCAGAATAGTTTAGATGGCATTTTTGAAAAAAATCTACTAATTAGTAATCTACTAATAAATTATTTTTGAGCAGCAAATCAGAATATTAGAATGATTTCTGAAGGATCATGTGACTAGAGTAATGATGCTAACGCTCTGCTTTGAAATCACAGGAATAAATTGTATTTTCAAATAGAAAACAGTAATTTTAAATAGTAAAAATATTTCAAAATGTTACTGCTTTTGGTGCATTTTGGATCAAATAAATGCAGGCTTGGTGAGCAGAAGATAATTCTTTAAAAAACATAAAAAATCTTACTGTTCAAAAACTTTTGACTGGTATGTTATTAATAAGGAGAGTCTGAGATTTATTTGACAGTGATTTCACATTTCTTGTTTGTATGAAGGCTAAATACCAATAAAAGGTGAACATTTATTTATTTGCGCCATTTTTCCTAAAATATTATATCGTTTTATAGGAGTAGGGTTCATAGAGTTGGCAAATTAATTTTTCATAAGTTTGTAGGTACAGACATCTGTTGTGGCCATTCTTGGCCATTTTTATGAGGCTTTTTTAATAGTGTTCATATCGATATCGGAAATATTATATCGTATCGACCGAAATTAAGAAATATATCGTGATAATTTTTGGCCATATCGTCCAGCCCTATGACAACACTGTAAAATTTCTCGTGGAATAAGTATGTTCACTGGTGGTCATGCAATTAAGCTGCATGGGAGACCGCCAGTTGCAAAGACCGCATCTGAAAAGTGTCTGAAGCCCCCAGTAAATAACTATAAATACATCTTTACAAAACTTTAAGTTAAGGCTGCTCTGTGATGATTTGTGCAACACTGTCAGATTTCGCTACCTGCCATTGAAACAGTAGGTAGCACAATGCGACAACAAAAAATGCTACCCATCAGATTATGTTTTATTAACGCGTACACCTACCCCAACCCTAAACCTACCTTAACAGTAATGCAAATACAGTAATTATGTGTTGTTCAAAATTGACGCAATATTGATGTGCACATGCGCACTGAGCCCTGGTAGGACAATCTGATGGGTAGGATGAAATGTCAGGACACTGGCTTAAAATTCAGTGGTGCAAAGCCAGACTAAATTCTGCCTGCTCAGGCCCACCTCAGCCCCTAGTATGAAAGTATACAGTTGTAATTGCTGCATAAATGCATTCAAGCCACCTCCGAGCAGCGTTAAACAGTCTGCGTAAAGACACCTAAATGCCACTTCAGAAGTGCTTCTGTGCCACCATTGAAGTGTAAATTTGGCATAATATAAGAAAACAAAGCATCTTTACACAGCCAAGTTAAGGCTGCTCTGTGCCTGTTCAAAATTCTGTGTAAAGACGTAATGCTGCATAAAAGCCAGACTAAATTATGCCTGCTCTGACCCACCTCAGCCCAAGTATCAAAGTGTTTGGTTATCATTCAATGCTATGTAAATGCATTTATGCCACTTCTGAGCAGCATTAAACAGTTTGTGTAAACATACCTAAATGCCACTTCAGACGTTTCTATGTGCCACCATTGTGGTGTAAATTTAAACAGCATTATACAGTCTGTGTAAAGATACCCACATGGCACTTCAGAAGCACTTCTGTGCCACCTTTGCAGTGTAAATTTGGCATAATATAAGAAAACATGAAGCATCTTTACACAGTCAAGTTAAAGGGATAGTTCACCCAGAAATGAAAATTCTGTCATCATTTACTCACCCTCAAGTAGTTCCAAACCCGTATACATTTCTTTGTTCTGCCGAACAGAAAGGGAGATATTTTGAAGAAAGTTTGTAACCAGGTTGTTTTGGGGCACCATTGACTTCCATAGTAGGAGAAAAAAATACTATGGAAGTCAATAGTGCCCCAGAACTGCTCTGTTCCCCACATTCTTCAGAATATCTTCCTTTGTGTTCTGCAAAACAAAGACATTCATACAGGTTTGAAACTCCTTGAGGGTGAGTAAACGATGACAGAATTTTCATTTTTGGGTGAACTATCCCTTTAAGGCTGCTCTGCGCTTTCTCAGAAGTCTGCAATGGTGCATAAAAGCCAGGCTAAATTACGCCTGCTCTGACCCACCTTAGTCCCTAGCATCAAACTACTGTTTAAAGGATGCGACTGCTGTGTAAAAGCATTTAAGCCACCTTTTAGCAGCATCCGTCTGTGTAAAGACTAAACACTTCAGAAGTGCTTCTGTGCCACCTTTCTTCGCAGTTGTAAATTTGGCATTATTCCATCAAATTACTGCACCCTATAACTTCAGTTTTACTAGCTTGTTTAATAAATGGCAGAAACTCAGTCAATAAAACTCTCAAGCCAATAAAATCAACTCAAGCTCATAAAAAGAAAAAAAGTATCTGCACACTTATAAATCTATGAATATCATGGCCAAGTGCTATTTATTTACAAGAAAAATAGCGCAAACACACTTTTCAAACGAAACCTTCCACAAAGAGAAGTTTGCTTTAAGTGATAAAACAACAATAAAAGTTTTGCACCACTTTCTAGTTGGACCATGTTTAATGTCATGAACTATACTATACTAGAACACCTGTGTGAAAAGTGAGGTGAAATTACTTCAAAAATACACTAAAATCACACCAGATGGTTAGAAGAACCAAAAATGGCTCAGTGAAGTTGTCCCACATGGTTTAATATCACCTAATCAATCCTGAAAACCTTCTTTAAAATCTCTAGCTTGAATCAAACCCGCGAATTTGACAATTTCATTTATTTGGTTCAAAAACAACTGTTTTATTCCCAACCAAACATCATAAAGGGAAACAAACAGATGGTCTAAACACAACAAGAGCGTGCCTTACCTTGAGACGTGATGTTTCCAATGGAAACCACCAGTAGAAGTTATTTATTTTCCAAATGCCTCTCAGCTGTCAGACACAAACCCTCATTGGCAAGGTCAAAGCTGCGCGCGCCCACAAAATGTAGCAGGTGTCAAAAAGGTGTTTATTGTGAGAGCGCGTGTGCTTGGAGGTTTGGTGGCCTCTGTGGAGGACAGCCACGCAGTAGTTTATCTCCAACAACTCTGTAAAAAGAGTGCGAGGCGAGCGAGGGGAAAATCTGAGGTCACACCTTCCCACCGCAGCAGATGCTGGAGAGCTGAGCACGTGCTCCCTCCCGGCCAAACGCGCGCAGGTTTCCAAGCTGAAAAGAGGAAGTACACGTGTGTACTGTTTTTTTTTTGTTTTTGTTTTTTAATAAGAGAGACGATCTTTGTGTTAAAACTAAACACAAAAAGACAGTCAACGTCAAAAGTGCGTTTATTGTCACTTTGGGTAGAATGTGAAACAAAATACAGAGACGCCAGGTGCTAAACACTGTGTTTGTGACACCATAAGAATATATAAAAATACCTAAGAGTTTTAAAACGTGATTTTTAAATTCAGTTTCCTTATTAATCAGTCACCGACCAACCTGCAGTAGTTTATCTCCAACAACTCTGTAAAAAGAGTGCGAAGCGAGCGAGGGGAAAATCTGAGGTCACACCTTCCCACCGCAGCAGATGCTGGAGAGCTGAGCACGTGCTCCCTCCCGGCCAAACGCGCGCAGGTTTCCAAGGTGAAAAGAGGAAGTACACGTGTGTACTGTTTTTTTTTTTTGTTTGTTTTTTAATAAGAGAGACGATCTTTGTGTTAAAACTAAACACAAAAAGACAGTCAACGTCAAAAGTGCGTTTATTGTCACTTTGGGTAGAATGTGAAACAAAATACAGAGACGCCAGGTGCTAAACACTGTGTTTGTGACACCATAAGAATATATAAAAATACCTAAGAGTTTTAAAACGTGATTTTTAAATTCAGTTTCCTTATTAATCAGTCACCGACCAACCTGGAAATATTGAAGCACGAACACTGGAAACTGTGGGCATCTGTGAATTGCTACCTGGAGGAAAAAACACTGATCTATAATACGCAATGTGCAATCCAGTTATTATATAGATCAGTGGGGAAAACATAGTTGGGAAGCAGCATGCTATGCCACCAATAAAAAAGTTCTTATCCCTGAGGTATTCGAGGAAAAAAAAACTGACGTGGAGTTACTGACAGGTGTATTTTTCTGCTTGCAGAGTTTTTGTTCAGACGTCTAAACAACAGACTATGTGCTTCTCCTGAGGTGGGATCTTACTGTTCAAACATATTTAAGCATTTGAGTGACTGTATGTTTATGAATCTTAATTGTTTGAATCTATATTACAAAATATATAAATGAAACTCTAACTTGGAGCAGGCATAGGCCTAGAGAAAAACACTTATGGGGTGCAATATACAACATCCGGATATGCTAAATATGATATAATGTATAGTAAATCTTTAACACATTTTAATTTTGCTAATATATTGGAGAGACTGTTTGCTTGTTTGTTAGTTTTTTGTTTTGTTTTTTACAGAAAAATGTAAGACTACAAAAAAAATCAATTTCAAACCAAAATTTCTATTCATTAAAGATCTATTCATCAAAAATGTATAGCACGGTTACTGTTTTCAAGATTGATAATCATTAGAAATGTTTCTCGAGGTCCAAATCAGCTTATGATTTCTAAAGGATCATGTGACACTGAAGACTGGAGTAATGACTGCTGAAAATTCAGCTTTGACATCACAGGAATAAATGACATTTTTAAATATATTAAAATAATAAAAAAAAAACAGTAATTTTAAATTATAATATTTCATATTGTTACTGTTTTTACTGTATTTTTGATCATGTCAATGCAGCTTTGGTGAGCATAAGACTTTTTTTCAAAACATTAAAGAATCTTGTGTGTGTGTTTTAAGCTGTGGTTTTGAATGTTTATTAAGATGTAGTGAATTTTATTATCCAAACAACATTTTAATTTTAGCTATTGTAAAATAAAGTGAACACAATAAAACCACACTGTAATACATTCAGATAAAAGTTGACTATATAATGAAAAGTTAAAGACAAGGGTATTTTTTCATGAATTTCTATTGTAGATCATTTTTGTTTTAATGACTAAAACACGTTAAAAACAATATTTGTTGACCACGAGAACTGACTGATATTTTGAGCGTATGACTGTTTTTCCCATTACATTTTTCTTGATGAATTGTTTTGTTTTATTGTTTACATTTGAAAATCTGTTTCAACATGCCAGAACAATTAACTTTTTTTTTTCCTGGGCAATAAGAGTGGAAATGTTCAATAGCTGTTTTCAGTCAAAAAATTTTACGTTATGTCTCTATAGAAACTGAGTAAAGCCCACCATGATAAATAAATAAAAAAGTGTGACAAGTGCACAGTTATAACAATAAATAGCTTGATTAATGAATTCTTTAAAAAAAAACTCTAATGTGTATATTGTTGCTTATTCATCTGATAAAGTAGAAAGTAGATTCAGAAATGTCAAGCTCTCGTTCCTCAGGTAAACCGGCTGCGGCAGTCATCAAATCCATTATTGACAGAAAATACAATTAGTTACACCCAGATGGCCTTCAACAGAACGGAGTGCATCCGTCATGCCCTCCACACAAAACCAACCACTTCAATTTATAACATGCTCTCTGCTTCTAGCAAACCGAGAATACTTTGCTTTCCATTTTCCACTAATGGATGTTACATTGTTTTATTATTAACCTTGATCTATAAGATTAGAGTCAAATAACAATATTAGATTAAATTGGAGTTGAAAAAAACTTGAACCATGAAATTGGTCTTTAATAAGACAAAACATCAATGACATTAAGTCAGTGTTATCTCAGATTTTATTCAGCAAAGCGTGTGCCTACAATATCTTACAAACGGAACAAAAACAGAGGGATTGTCCTCATACAAACAGGTCAGCAGGTAGAACATTTACAATCATGCATCATGACGAGTCGAAGGGCTCGTGACGCCTCTCGCCAACACGAGGGAACCGGCGAGAGTGTGCACCACAAGCTCAGACAAGGAAAGGGCCTTCTACCACTTACAAATACACTTCACTCAAATGCTACGAGCCCAAAGGAAGGACGAGGGGGAAGATCAATATGATCTGAGCATCAGGCAGCGTTCGTGGAATTCGTTGTCTTTTTTCCATTGTCCTCCAGCAGCACTGAAAGGCCAACTTTAATGATCACAGAAATTATGCATTATGAAGCAGAATGTTCTCACTATCAGAAAGGCTCCTTCAATAGTTTGAACTGATCTCAAGATCCAAAAAATAACAAAAAAAAAATGAAGAAAAAAAAAAAGTCCAAACGCATCAGTTAAATGTACAAATGCAAGATATTGCTATTCAAAGAGGTTTCAAAGCATGTAAGCATTTTTTTTTTTCTTTTTTTTTAATCTTTCAAACTAGTTATTGTAGGATGGATTTGGCGAGTTAAACAAACAAGTGTTCGCTATAATACATCAACAGAAAAAGCACAAGTGAATTCCACTCTTTCCCAAACAACGCTGAAGTTTTGACTCTGAATTGGATATGAAATGGTGAGGAAATCCATGTGAGCTCTACATAAGGATTTCTTTCAATTCAAAATGAATACAGCAGGTTGAACCGAAGGAGGAAACGGGTCTTAAATATAAAAGGCAGTGAGGTGAACATGGGTGACAGTGCAAAGGCACATTAGTGGTCTGATGCTTGTTTATTATGGGCTTTAATATAGAGCGAAAGAAGGGGAGTGCTGATGTACTCCGATGAGGGCCGTAATTAAGCAAGTCATGATGGAAAAATGCGTTTGTCGATAAAGAGCGGTGAAACTTTGTAGGTGGAGAAGACAAAGATGCAATGCAAAACCAAATAGGAGCTTGAACTAGACAGAATGGAGGAGGAAAGCACTCTCTCGTAATATATGTCTCATGCGATATGATGCATGATATGCATTTCACTGGGTGGAAATGAAAACCTAATGACAATAAGAATAACAAAATAAGATTTGGAAGGCAAAAAGACAGGACAGATATTGCGGAGGCATAGCTTACACATCAAATGAGGCATGAAACAAAACAATAGAAAGGCAACACAATGGATGGTAGAGAAATGGATAAAGGTACAAATGGTTTTGTAAAAACAAAACTGGAAAACGAAGACAGGTAAAGTGATTACAAAAAATATCTACAGTAATGATTTACATTTTTTTAAACTACAATGTTAAATATACAAGAGAGCGATGCTGCATCATTGCTGTTAATTTGCTGATTTTACAAATACATTCATTTGAAGTGTTCAGAAACATGAAGCCAAAGCCATTAATCATTGCGTTAATTCAGATTTCAACAAACAAATCCATCGATCCAAGAGCAGGCAGCTTATCTCGACTCACTAACATGGTGACATTCCGAGTAAGATGTTTTATGTTTTGATTTGCTTTTAAGAGGAATTTAATCGAGCGCTGCGTCAACTTCCAGTCGGGCATCTCAGTCAGACATGTTCACAATAAAACCGTGGGTTCCGATGATAAAAGAAGCATGTCATACAGAAGTCTGCGGTTATCTCTAGCAGAACTCGTCCAAAGATCATGACCAGCAGGTTGATCACGGTACATGGCAGAGATCCACACATCTTCCTGTCCTCAAAGAGACACGAGAGGAATGACAAGGCAAAGGTCACTTCCAGAGAAATCAAACAGGAAGTGTTTTGATTAAGAACACAAAGAGCGAGTGTGAAAAGGGATCGGATTTAGTGGAGGTGATATTGCCCATCTGAACATCTGTAGTCAAACACTGTCCTCTGTTGATAATGGATATACTGAACATATACAGGATGGCACAGGGTGCAGGGGGAAGCTCAGGCAGACTGCTTCTGTACTGAATTTAAGAGTCCTAGAATTATTTACACAGTAGATACAGGCACTTAAAAGTCTTTGGTTGGAGTGACCCAACATTGCAGAGTAATGCATTCACAGAGCTTCTTTTTTTTTTTTTTGCACCCTTCTCCTGGGTTCTGTAGGCAACATGTAGTTTTCTCACTTCCCTTTGCGATATGCTTCGGTTCAGATGTCCACCTTCAAACCCCCGTTTATCCCGCAGACAAGGCCACCTGTGTGAAAAACAGGCACTTTTTGAATTCAGCTAGTGCACTTGTTTGTTGTGAGCTGGATGACGACATCAACATGTCAGCAAATGCACAACTTCTCTACCAGACTGAGTTTTGCTTTAACTAGCAGACTAATCACATGGATCATCTCATAGACC